TTACTTATGAGATTGAAAACCATTGTTTATTTTTCTCTGCAGGTTTAGAGGTAGTTAAAAGTAAAATATTGTTGCAACAAAAAGAGAGCCATTAGCCAATTGCATCTCGCTCTGTCACAGAGCCAACGAGCACAATTTTTGCTTTGTTGGAGAAAATACATACTGGGAGATCTAAGCCAAGAATATTTGGGAAATTGATGCAATATTGTCTGAATCTTTCTCAACAATTTAGAGAGAGCAGTGCTTGTGCGATTCCTGCTAATGCTATTACACGCGCTGTATTTTCCTTACCTCCTGGTTGTAATTCACCATCCTACAACATTTTATTGTTAGGGTAGTTTAATTTCTTTTTGAATCGTGAGCTTTTGTTCTCTACCTGTGCTGTAGGAACAAGCTTCTCCTTGAGCAGAATGTTTTCCTTCCTCAACAGCGTTTTTGATTCAGTATCTTCCCTCTCGGATGAGAAAAGGTGTTAGCTTTTCTTTTTTTGTAGCAGCTGTCAGACTGTGCCATGTCCTCCAGTGACAACTGGAGGGTCCTGTGAATCTCAGGTACATAAAGTAGGTGTCTCCTTGGGTATTTACACAACTTCTTCCTCTTTCCCTGTTGAGTGGCATTGAACCTGACAGGCGCCTTTTCCAGGGTGGGTGGGAGTGACAAGCCCTTCATTTTGGTTTGCTTTTCCCCCCCGTACTTCAGGAACAAAGGTTGCTTGAGACCTTGGAGGTTGTTTTCAAAAGAGAGGGGAAAACCTCATGAAGGAGCTGGTCCACGTGATCCATCCCATCCCAGCAGCTTTGACTCGGTTTTAAACTTTGGATGTCAGGGCAGTGATGTAGACTTTGAGTAGCTAAGTGGTGCTTGGAGATGCCCCTCCTTTTAGTGTTCTGTGGGAGTTTGTATTTTAGAAAAATATCTTGGTGGCTTGTTAAAGGGAAATACAGATGCTGTCTGCCAAACCTCCCGGTTTCAGTTCAAGTGACAATAGGAATGAAACCACTATGCTAATACTATAAAATGCATCTTAACTGAGCGCCTTGCAGTTTTTGTATTCACGCTTTATGTACGCTGTCCTAGTGAGGAGGGAAGTGTCCTTAGCCCCATTTACCAGAAGGAGGAATGAGGCATAGATAGGCTAAGTGCATTTCTGAGTTCACAAAAATTGTCTCTGGCAGAGGAGGAAAAATCCCTAAACACTTTACCCACTAGAACAGGGCTATGCAACTTCGAAGTGGCTGGGAGCCACTTAATACATAGGTTTCACCACTTGGTGCTGCGTGCTTCGGGGATCAGCTGGGACAGCAGCCCCCCAGGCTATACGTCATGTGTTTCCCCCCTGCTGCGCCACACTTCTGACCTTCAGCTGTCCGGCTACGGGCTTCTTCACTGCACTGCGCTACGTTGGTGTTGTGGGCTGCTGGCTGCCCTGCCGCAGTGGGCTGTGCTGCCCCTGTCGCCCTGCCTTGGGGCAGAGCCATGCAGTGGGAAGCCAAAAGAGAGAAAGGGAGCCCCAAGATCCCAGCTGCTGTTGCAGTGGGAACAATACGGGCAGCAGTGACTGGGTAGGAGTCTCTAAGGTCCTCATATTGAACCCCTCTTGGGCCATGTGCAGCCCACAGGCTGCCAGTTGGACAGCCTTGCACTAGAGTATTCTTCCCTTATACCAGTCCATGTTCCTAGCCTATGCTCCCATGCTATATGTTTGTTTTTTTTACCCATTAACATCAGAGGGCCTTGCTGTATGGAAAATACAGTCTTGTTCTTTTAGGCATTGGAGTTATCTTTTAGACTGAAGGAGACCCTTGGAAGAATAAATTGAAGATATCAAGAAGATTCGTGACTTACAGGAAGAACATGTCATAAGCTGAACCGGTCTGCCTCAACTCACAGCCATTAAAAGCGAGCACTAAGGGTTGTTGTCATCTAAGACTTCTTATCCTTATTTGTCCTCCTGCATAGCTGGTGGGAATAACGGCAGTTTGGGTTGGTTTGTGGACTGGACCAGGGGGAGGAAAATGCAAGGCTTGACCTAAGTTCATGAGTGCATAGACCATCAATGCACCTTGCTTGGTGTGTTCAAAACATCAGATTCAGGTTCATGCAACCCATCCCACTCTTGGGTTATTGATAAAATGCACACAGTTATTTCAGCATAATGACAACTGTTTCAGCATTATTGCTGTTTTGAAACTGTTTGCTCAAGTGGCAGCTGCCTTAGCTATAACTGTTTTGGTTTTGGCTTTGTGTTTGGAGCAAGTTCCACCCTTAGTTTATATACCAGGAAGTTAATGAACCAGTGACAGGGTGGAGTTTTTGCTGGGCCTGGCTGCTTCTGTATGTATGTGGAATGTGCTAGCTTCCAAAATTTTCCTGACCATTATGCCAGTCTGAAATAATGAGGTTTAAGTAGCAGTGCTGAATAGCTTACAGAAGAGGCCAAAGGACTGTAATAATGTAAATGAAAGGGGAATTTGGCCCAGCGTATTAGAAAAGAGCCACCAAAGTATTACTCAGATGCAGCATCTCATCTCGCCTGTCTCTGTGCTAGACTGTGTTAAATCGCAGGGTGCAGATCTGCGGAGGAGATTGCCTTCAGCCCTGAAGCTCCAGAAGTGAAAATACATTGTTGTGACTTCTGACCAGTCTGGGATCCTACGATGACAAGAGCCTTGGAGTAGTTAGGAGCTCTTAGCAGCTGAAGGCAGCCTGCAGTTCCCTTGCACAGACATGCCTCACTCGAGTTTTCAAAACGCGTGGTTCGATGAAGTGCGCACATTTGGGGGCAAGTGATCGTATGCCAGAAAAGGATTATCAGATTTTGGCAGCAAGTAAACCACCTTTTCATGTTTCTTGCCCGCCACACCGGGCATGAAATTAACTTTCTTCTTCTACAACAGATCATTGGCCTTAATCATTGCTTCCTAGCCCAGATGCTCCATAAGAACCATATCCACAGTGTTTTCTTGGCATAGAATCAGCCCCCCAAATACATTATTCAGTCCTAAATATTCCTGTAATATGCTGCTATAACTGTGCTGCGAGAGCGAGACAATAATAATTTTAGTAGGCAGATGCACTCATTTTGTCCTTTTTGTTTCAAACCAGCTGTAAAGAGCGAAAGCAGAGCTTGATTACTGGCTTTTTTTTTTTTCCCCCAGCCAAGGAAAACTCCCTGGAATTATGTAGCTTTTGGAATAAATTGGGAGTGGAGAGTTATGGGGCAGTGGTTTTTTGTGCTTGAGTGGGCTGTGGTATGAGGGAAATTGGGGTGGTTGATTGAGTTTCCAGAACACCAAGATGGCATTTAGCCCCATAGATGTGTTGGTATAATGCAGCCTGCAGAAACCCACCGTTCTCCTCTCTCCAGCTTTCCCTCCCAGGAAAGTGCTTGCTTCAGGAGTACGATAGGAGTCAGCGTCTTGTTGCAGTAAGTGGGCTATGATTGATCATGGGAGCAGCGTACTTCATTGCATCAACATCCACCCCTTTCACTGCAGCAGGCTGCTAAGAAGGGTGAAGAGACGAATCCTGCAGGGTGTTTAGTTCTCGTTTCCACTGAAGCCAGTGGGAGATTAGATTGGATTTGCCCCACTAACATCAGTAGGAGCACGAGCAGCCCTTTAGTAATGATCACCTTGCCAGATTGGGCCCAGCATTGCCAGTGAGTTTGTATTTTGTGCTTCCAGTAGCCAGGACTCCCTCTGCTGGCTCTGGTTCTGCATCTGTGGTCACCGTCTCCAGAAGTGCACACGTTCCTTCCTCCTGGCAAGATAATGCAGCTGTGTAGCGGAGGGGGGGAAAGCAGGATGTCTGCCTGTTGGCCCAGTTAAAAAAAAAAAAAAAGGATTGGATTATTGCTAACCCCAAATATTCAATAATCACAAGTCAGGTCTCCAAGAAAGTTATGACCTTGGCTTGGACATCCTTCATTTTTAAACATGTGAATTTTTATGTGCATCAGTCTTTTGAGCCCCTAGGATTCACATTTGCAATCTCTTTGTTCTCTCCTACGATCAAGAGGGCTCTTATTATTAATTTATAATAGAACTTGAGGTTCTTGTCAGAGGCTGGGTCCACCGGAGATGGTGAGACTCTCCAAAAGAACCTGTGAGACCTGGTGATGCTGAAGGTGGGAAATCTTTATTTCTTTCAGCTGTCTGATGAAGGCAAGGATTGACAGGGAACCCTCCTTTCCCTGCTGCCTTCCTCCTCTGCAACTTCTGAGAGGTTGTGACAGAGAATAAAATATAAACTCTCACCCCAAAGTAGGTGACAAATGCCTTCTTGCCACAGCGAGATCCATCACTCTCTTTGTCTGGACACAATGTTTTCATTTGATTTTTTGCTCCCATTTTCCATGCTCCTGCCCCCCCTCCAGCTCCTATGACAGGACCTGAATTATTACTCGCCGGGCATCTAAAACCTTAACCTTTAAAGAAAAGGAGAGTACATTCCAGGTAATAAAACAACTCTCTCTCTTTTTTTTGAGCTCTTGCATCTTGAGAAGTCCTCCCTGTTGTTTAATTCTGAACCTGCTTTGTGCCTAAAGCCGGTTCTGAGTAAGCGCTAGCGCATCCCACAGGAACTCTTGATTTATTTTGCTAACTCTGCCCTTCTCTCTCAGTGGTTCAGAAACCTTTAATGATCTGTGAAGCTCCAAGACTTCAGAGCAGAACAGTAGTAGTTTTAAGAACCTCCTCTACTACATAAAAGTCCTAACACTTTCCACATGCTGGGTTTTTGACCTCATGAAAGGATGACCTCCCACAAATTTGGTTTGCATAGCAAGGCATCCTGGGCAGGGGCTTGCTAATGCTATTGTGAATTTTTTTGGAGGGTGGGGGGGGGATATGGTTGTAATGAAAATTCTGGGCTCCTGGCCAAGGAGTAGGATGTGATACAGTGAACATGTTTCTCTTGCCCTTTGTTACTGTTCAAGCTTTGATTAGCTTTGTTTCCAGTAAGCTTAATTATGTTCTCTTTTATTTTTTATGGCTAAGGAGACGAATCTTGCCAAAGCTGAGTCTCTTTTCATTACCCGAATTGCAGCAGTTGGAGGGAATTGGAGAAATAAATCCTGCCAACCAAAGAACCCCACCAAAGACTGAAAACAAACCTCTGCTCCCTTGACACTTATGCTTTCCCCCGAACGGTGGAGAGTGATAAACCCCACCAGGCTTTTGTTTTCTACCCCGCGCATCTTCCCCACCTTTGGTGTTAGAACAGACTGCCTAAAAGTCAGCTCTGAATCTGGATCAGAAGGGGAAACAAATCACCACCAGCCAGTTTACTGCTTGGCTTCACTCCTCTTTCCTTCCATCGCGTACTTGAAGGTGCTGACCTGACACAACATGCTCTTTTCATGCCGTGAAGTCAGGTTTTCCCATGTCCCTTATAGAGGCTTGTATTGTCATGCGTGGCTCTGTTTTCAGACTCCCAGATGGGCAGCACAGACGAGCAGCGTTGTACAGGCTAGAGAATAATAGGGCATCCCGAATTCGGGGCGCTGGAGAAGAAAATGTACTAGGAATATTTGCAGAGAGTGCTCATCCCAGAGACAGCATTGTCAAAACAGTAGCACAGATGGAACAGCTACAAGTTATTTTTTTTTAATGGTCAATTCATCTGTCTGACAGGTGAATGCTGTCACCTCAGCATCTCAACCTTCGACTGTTTGAGCACAGGTTTTTCCCCACTCTTGGTGTTTGTGATAAATACTGTGTCCTCCTTGTTCCTCAGCCCTAGGTGAAGGAGAAAAGAAAGATAGCGTCAAGTTTTTAAGAGCCTAGAAATGTGCTAAACTCATCTGTTGCAGGGGGAGGAGGAGTGAGGCGGGGGTAGCACTGGAGCCTTATTCAAGTATTACGACTTTTATCGTCATTTGTGTACCAAACGGGCTGTGCTGCAGTGTTTCTTTCTGTTAACGTGCCTTGCTCTTTGGCTTTGATAGCTGAACTTGCCTGATTTCCTTGTGATTCATATGACATGAAGGGCACGCTTCCTGCTCAAAGTTTCCTTTGATTATGTTAAACTAATAGAGCTGCAATGTTTAATGGTTTATGGTTCTGGAAGACCAGAACTTACTGAAACACACATTCTTTCTGTGTTGGGACCCGGGTCTGACCTGTGGAGCTTCATCGCGTGTCGTGTCGGTGATTAAATAAACGTGTGCAGTGCACCTTACCCAACTTAGCTGGGGAAGAGGCATCTTTTGTACTTTCCACTGATCAGTCAGATCCAACACACAGAATAACTCTGTGGGTTGCATTTCTGGACTTTCACCTTGGTGCGATGAAGTGATATGGACAAAAGGCCTTCCACTTTCAGTGTTGTGTTAAAGTTTTATTGATTTAACAGTTCCAGCGTATGTTGTTATTCTGTGGCATTTGATGCGATAGGGTTTTTTTTTGTTGCCCAGTTTTGGAAGTGCATTCTTTTGTTGGAAAGATAAGAGCATTTTTCTGCTCTGCATGGGTACAAAGGATTGGGTTGCTCTGTTTGCATGGTTTTGAAGGTGAAGATCTGTATTTTGGTTTATAGAAAAATCTGTGCTTCTCCTATATGTAAACTTTTCCTCTAAGAAAAACCCATGCAAAACTTCTGCCACTTGAATGCCATGAATTTCTGTGGTGTTCCACCAGCAGAGAAATTCACTCTTCGTACCGTATGCGATATAGCTTAAAAAAAAGAAAAGATCTGATTCTTAGGGAGTGTTGTATGCGGCAGCTCTGTGCCAGTTGTAATTGCGGGTTGTGAGCTGGCAGTTACTGCGGTTAAGGCAGCGAGAAGGCTTTGATATCTCAGGCCTCAATTGTGCAGGGACGCTTAGGAATGCATTTAAGTGTGTTAATTGTTCCACTGGAGACCGTGAAGGCCATGATACTGCTTGCTTACATCAGATTGGTGTAATGGCAAGGCTTTACTGAAAACTGCCCTGAAACCTTCCCCTTGACCCATCCCTCTTTTATAATAGAAAGAGTACTATAAGCTTCTGCTTTGGATGCCAGCTCATGAGTCATGCCCATCTAAATAACTATGCTGGCATGTAGGAATTGCACATCTGAAGGTCCTGACTGCTTTACTAATTGGTTAAACTTAGCATCTGTCTGAATAAATTGAAGCTAGATTTCATTGCATGCCTAAGTTTCTAGATCTTTCCCTTTTCTAAACTAGTGTTTGGATTTTATTTATTTGTTTCGAGTAACTGAAGCCGTAGTTTTGACCTTTTCAAGTAAACTTGCACAGAAAAGCAATGAGAGAGATTTAAAATTAGGTTTCATTATGCTGCTTATTTTGTGAGTTGTCCCCTTTTTCCACCATAGGATGACAGAGTCTGTATGATGGAGATAAGCAGGCTTTCCTGGAGTACTGTTTAGTGTTAGTTTTGCTGTTTCTATAAAAGGCAGATTGAAATGGATGAATGAATACCTGGAATCACTTTCTCCACCAAGTAGAAACTCTGTTGGTTCCAGACGTTTGGCTATGCTCATGCCCGTTACTATCTAGGAATCCATCTTGTGTCCTTTGCTGCCAGGAAGACATGCTTGTGTGGCTTATTCAGAAGTTGCTCCCTGCTCATCAACCCCTGAGTATTGCAGCTTTAAGAATGTGGGAGAAAAGCGTACCAGATTCAACACCTGTTGATCGCTGCGGTTTGGCCTGACCCTGAAGTCATGCATATCCTCTTATGCATGGTCCTTGTCTGTCTAAAAGGGTCGAAAAAGCCAGGTTTGGTTTGGAAAATGAAGCCTAGTTCCGTAAAATAATCCTACCCCCAGCTCCTTTTCACATAAGAAGTCACCTTCCTCTGCAGTTCGCAGTGAGGATTTCCATTGTGTTTCATTACAGAGGTGTCCTTGAAAGACAGTGGGGAAATAACTGTTATGTGCTGCCAAAGCTTTGTTTCCTCCGTACTGTTTTGCGTCTTCTCATTAATTATTAAAGTGAACAACACTGGCTTGAAGGCTTGCTATGTACCTTGGCAGCTCTGTTTTTCCCTCCCCGACCCTGCACAGGATCTGTTAGGCCTGGGTTAGTTGCCTTCTGAGAAGCAGACACTCAAATAGTAGGTTGCAGGTACCTGCATCTTATTTGAGCAGAAACATTGGATACCCGTTAATTAAATCCTTTAATTGGGTAACAGGGCTGTGAGAGGTTTATGCTTTCTCTTTTTGCTTTGAAGCCCTTTCCTCAGGACTTCCATAAAACAGCACCTTCTAAATGATTTGCTGTGGACCTGGCAAACTCCTGGCATCAGGTAGGAAAGCAGGTTAATCACCTGCCCTAGGTCCTTGCTGATGACGGGGAATGCACGTCGCAAATTTTGGTCAACACGAATAATCGGACCAACCACAAAAAGGCCAGTGAAACTCTAGGAAGAGCTTTGTTCACCTGCTTGACATCTGCAACAGTTTTAATCATGGAATTACTTTACCATGGACGGTTAAGTGCTCTCTAGTATGTTTGGTAAGATAAGCAAGTGTTAGTAATACAAGGTCTTGAGTGCAGGATAATCCCTTCTGTGAAATTCTGGCTGAGACAGGGGGCAAGAAACTGCCATTTTAGGTGTGCAGCCGGTTCTTTGGAATAGGGAAAAGCAAAGCAGGTTGATTTTAATTCATTTTAAATTTGATGGTTCTGGGAATTGTAAGTATGAAGTGGCATATCCCCAGAAGCCATCTTGGATCGGGTACAGGTCGATATCTTCATTAATGGCTTAGAGGATGGAATCTAGTGCGTGCTTTGGGGACAGCACCCGAATAGGGACCCATGGAGCGTTGGATTGGTTCAGAAGGGCCAGAAATGTGAGAAGAGGTTGGCGATCAGTTGTCTTTTGTTCAGGGAGGACAGAACAGCAAGTGTTAGGCATAAATCGCAACAAAGGAGATTTGGGGGGAGTGGAGGGAGAGAAGGGGCTGTGGTCAGCACTGGCAAAATCTCCATCACTAGGAATTTTTAAATTCAGGTTAGACAAACACTTGTCCAGGATAGTTTAGATGGGGATAATCCTACCTTGACCAAGTGGGTTGGGTTTAGATGACTTTCTAAGGTCCCTTCTGAGCGTGACTCACTGAACTTAAAAAAACATTTGAGTACGTCAGGGCTGTCCAACTGGTAGCCCGGGGGCCGCTTGTAGCCCACACGGGGTTAGGTTGTGGCCCTGGGCTCCCACCTAGCTTCAACAGCAGCCTGAGTCTCCCTGCTGCCCTTCATCCTCTGGTGTCTGCATTCTGCCCCCACCCCAGGGGTTGATGCAATATGCATGGCGCACTGCGGGGTGCTCCAGGTGAGGCCAGGGCTGTACAGCTATGGGTGGAAGGGCATGTCCATGTGGCTCCATTATGCTGGTGGGCATTACACTGGGCATCCATGCAGCGTGTAGCCTGTGGTCCTCACTGGTGCAGGCTGAAACGCATGCAGCCCTCGGTTGCTGGGTAGGACAGCCCCAGAGTATGTTAACAACGCATATTATTTGGGTCACTTTTTAAAGTGCTACTGTGGTGGGATCCTTCATAAACAGCTTACTGTACAGCTTACTGTACTCCGATTTACGACACAATTGGTTCCTGAAAACCA